GTAGACATCAGGCTGGATCAATAAAGGATATTGTGTTACATATAAAACATATTAAGTTGAATAACTTCAATATAAAACATATTTACACACCTGTCTCCAGACATGCCAAATGCTAAGGCTAACATGGTGGCTACGATGAACAGGTATAATGTTATGTATATATAATATAATGTTTACCATGCTCTCAGTTCAGCGTGTTAGCATGCAGACCTTTGCACACAAACAGAACAGCTGACACCTGATTGTTATTAGTTTTTTCTGGTATGTGGTGATACAATAAAATACTGAACTCTGAGGCGTCACATGACCTCCAGAGAGTCTGCACTTAAAGTTCAGGGTGGTCAAAATTGGCTCACGTCCTTTTAAAAAAAGCTACCTGTCCTCCACCTGATCAGATTTCCAGTATATACACACACACACGCACATCTTCACACACACACACACCTTCACACACACACACACACACACACACACACACACACACACACACACACACACACACACACACACACACACACACACACACACACACACACACACACACACACACACACACACACACACACACACACACACACACACACACACACACACACACACACACACACACACACACACACACACACACACACACACACACACACACACACATCTGTGGTCTCTTTTTGACATCTTCCAAGAACATGTGAGTCATGTTTAATATGGTTTTGTGGCAGATCTTCAGAGCAGAACGAATGAAAACACGGCGCAGAGGAATCAATAAAAGCTGATTTTAAAGAACGAAACAAATCCACCTAAAGCCATGTCTTTGGTTTCTATAATTGTGTTAAAGCTTTGTGCTGTTGCTCTGTAAAGCCAGGATTAACATTTAAAACTCTCATAAGATCCGTATCCAGTTGCTGCAGGACGACATCTGGTGAAAAACAGTCTGACTTTCTTCTAAACCTGCTTTCTTACGCTGCTTTGTCTCTGGTGTTACACACTAACTGGTCCTCTCCTGCCCCCCAGTGGATGATCAGCACCTCCCAGTCTCTTACCCTGTTAGACCCCAAGCCTGTTTTTCAGGTTTCAGGCTCGAAAATGACATGCCCAGAACAAATGACTATATAATGGCGCGTTTCCACTACAGCGCGGAGCACGGTTTAAGAGGGCTGTGACGTCAGCGGCCCGTCTTTGGTTGCGTTTCCACTTGGCCTAGTACCGGCCGGCGGGTCCTAATTCACAGTTTTTCTGGCCTCATAAAATCGTGGGTCTAGGGCCAGAGACAACGAGGCTGAGTCGGGCTGAGTATGCTAAACTAGAGAGAGGATCGCTGGCAAGGGGGCTACAACTACAACAAGATGGACATATTTGACCGTGATTTAATTGTAATACACGTTTCAAAATGATGAAGTAACAACATACTGATACCGGTTAGTAAAAACCATGAATTAATGCTTTGTCAAGTCTGCAGACAGACGGCAGGCGAAACACCTTTTAAAATGCGTGTTTTCTAAATGGAGATTGGCTAAGCTAACGCAGTATATGCTCCGACCGTCCACACTCACAACAACGGCCTATACAGACATAAATAAAGCAGCGACTGTATTCACCATGACACAGGCAGTCTGTGGTTTGTACTTGTTTAACTTTTGTCTAGTTTCTGAACATATATGAGGAGCTGTGAGCTCTGAGTGCTAACAGCTAACGGCTGTGTTGGTTTTCTGGGGTTCTCATTGAAGATGACGTCACGGCTCCGCCTACACTGCGTTACTATAGATACTACCCCAGTTCCTAAACTGTAATGGAAATGCGCCATAAAGTGAGCCAGTCCTAACGAGGCCCAGCCATACCGAGCGAGGCCGAGCGGGGCCGAGCGAGGCCGTGTAGTGGAAATGCGCCATTAGTTCACTTCTAAAAGGGTTAAATTAATAATCTTTTTTCTCAAAGCAAGGTTACATCTGTGAGATGGATGTAGACGTGTCAGAATCAATATAGATGTTTCTGTGTCAGAGTGAATTCAGATGGAACATAGTAAAAAAGTGTAAATTCTTACCTCCGCCTAACAAAAAACCATTACTTATAGTGCAAACTACCCTTGAATGATGGGTTAGTAGCCTAAAAGCTTTAGGAATCCAAATTATAACATATAATAAGTACCCTGTATCAAGATTGAGGCAAAACAAGTGAAAATTGACCTTTTTAGAGAGATTTAGGGAAAAAAAGTCCAGGCGGACTAAGCTTTGGGTATATTTGGGCACATCTGGTTCCATCAGTGCCATTTGACCTTTTTCATGGAACCAGACTGTAAAAATCATTTTATAACATTGAATCATCACTATAGTTATTCATTCCATAAAAAAAAAAAAAAAAAAAAAAAAATTATTGTAAAATGTAACCTGCTAATTATTGTCATGGATTTGAAAACTGATGTTGTTTATTTGCTATGTTCTGGCTGCTAGCTCAGTGAGTTATTGCCTGCAGTGATGGGGTGTATACCCATGGAATCTGTGGAATCTCAGCTTTCAGATGATGTGTTGTTTGTGCAGAAAGTATAATTATAAATGATCATTTTTGTGAGTTATGAGCAGAAATAGCATTAGTCCGTATTTGCTAAGGGCTCATTGAAAGGCTTCTTGTGGGAATTATTATTATTATTATTATTATTTATTTATTTTTTCGTATAGTCAGTTAGCTGAGTTTCTTCCCGTCAGCTGGGTGTGGAACATTAATAGTTTCATAAATGACACTTCAGAGATCACACTGGTGCTAGCAGATGTAGCATTTTCGGACCCTTCGGCGGGGTCCTTGGGGTTTTACAGGTTAAAGCCTCTGAACTCCAGCGTCTGCACTGTTCTTGAACTATTTCTATTAGATTTGTATTTATTTGCACGTCTCAAAACATTCTATTGCACTATTATATCTGTTTTATTTGTTCTATGTCCTATATATATATATATGTTGCACAGTTTCAGAAACAGCTGGCATACAAACTTTGTCTTAGCCTCTCTATTACTGTAGGTGAACTGTTGTACCTGGCTCAATGCCTCCAAACAGGCTGTAACTCCACCTTTGAACCACTAGATGTCAGCCTTAGCGAATACATAACACGCCTCCAACATCCTCCAGTTACTCTCTGATTCAAAAGAGAAACAATGCATTCATTTTCTATAGAATAACCACTTTTTAAATCCCTATACACCTGCATATTACCTGCATACACACCTGGGTTGTGTCTAAATGTATTCATGCTGCTTTTTATATATTTATTGATGTACAGCACTTTGGTCAACTCTTCAAATGAGCTATATAAATCAAGTTGGATTGGATAAACACTTAATCCGATCACAAACCCAAGTGTTTACAAAATGCTGCAGACAAACTGTACATTAGATCAAACTACAGATCACATTCGAGCCGTCCTGCATCGGGTCTCCAGGAAACTTCAGGATACATTCTTTTCCTTTTGAAGCCCTGCATGGTGTCGCATCAATTAGGTAATTCATGGAAACAAAAACATTGACTCAAGTTATCAAATCTATTTAAAGTCGACTAATCAATTATCAGATCAACGGAGGAATAACTGCCAACTTGTTGATGTTATGAGTAATTTTTCCTGCCATTCAGTTTGAAATCTTATTAAAGTGCATTAGCTCAAAGATAATAATACATTTGAATACAGGAATAAATCGACTAAAGTGATCAGTTAATTAACAAATGAAGTAATCGCCAGCTATCTTTACATCAGATTTATATTCATTAAGTCCTTTTTCTGCAAAAATGTAAATATATATTGGAAGTTTAAAGACACGACCTCGACTTTATGGAAGTTTGATGTCCATTTATTTTGACTATTTCTGACATTTCACACCAAACTACTAATTGATTAGTGTAGAAAACAACCAGCGGGTAAATAGATGATTAAAAAACAAGTTAGCTGCATCCTATAGTATTTGGACTCTAAAAACTATGAGCATCTTTGAGAGTAAGACCGATCATTCGCTGCAGAGTCATAAGATCATATTTAACCATTGACTGGAATTTGAGACGTAACGACTCAAAACACACACTTTTCAGTCACATTTGACTTTTTCACTGCATTTTAATAACATCATTGTTTCTTGCATTATTTTATTTATTTCTCTGAAGTATATTGAGACGGAGGAGGAGGAGGAGGAGGAGGAGGAGGAGGAGGAGGAGGGCAGAAAGACAGTCAGGGATATGGCTATTTACTGGAATATGAAGATAAGATAAGAAGTACTTTATTGATCCCAATTTGGGACATCTTCGCGTTGCAGCAGAAAAGACAAGGCATCGTCTCTCTGCCTCACATCGATGGAGACACATGACCTTTCAGATAGAAAGAGACGAGCTAACGAGCTAACGATGTGAGCGCTGTGACAGCAGAACGCTCCGGAGACACTGAAGGACTTTAAGGACTCTAATTGGGCGACATGTTGGAGACGAAGGAACAGAAAGAGAGTCGGTGTTATTCTTCAGAGAGGACAACATGTCACAGATCTGTGAGGAGAGGGAAGTGACTTCATATCGAGATCCATTTGTAGAAAAGCAGACTCTTTCTGAGCTTTTTAAAAAGAGCTGCAAGTGCAATAAATCTGATTATAGGAGAAAGACTGCGAAAAGTGCAATAAGTGCATCTTTTTTAGGATTAAATTGCTCTTTAAAATGTAACTATGATTGTTTTTCATTACTGCCTTGGTGGATATCATTTCCTTAAATGTTTTATATTTAATTCAAGTTATTTTCTCATATTTTTAAGACTTATTTTTCCAGTTTGATATTGTGATGAAAAATAAAAATATTTATCGTTATTATTGTGTTAAATCAGATTCTGCATTCTAACTGAAGAAAAAGGACTGATTTTGACTTTTTAAGCAATTTAAAAAGCATTTTATGTTAAGTTTGACTAATTTTTGAATATTCCCTCCTGTGTTCATGCATTGCACTTTAATAATGTGCGTGTGCGTGTGCGTGTGCGTGTGTGTTCTGTAGATAATTACCCAGCAGCTCCATGGCCTCGTCCTCGTCCTCCATGTCCTCCTCGGCTCCGGGGGGGGGGGGCAGCGAGTCGAAGGAGTCCTGGGACAACATGGCCGCCAGCAGCTTCTTGTGATGCTGCTGCTGCTCCTTCAGACCTTTACTCTTCGTCTCCATCTTCACACTGAGGAGGAAGAGGAGGAAGGCAGAAAGATAGTCAGGGATATGGCTATTTACTGGAATATGAGATGTAGTGACTCAAAATGAATAATACTCAGATTTGTATTATTCCCACACCTTGTCATGCACATTTGATTTATTCTCTGTGTTCTACTTGCACTTTTGTTTCTTGCATTCATTTATGTGTTTTTTTTGGGGTCATTGGCACTATTTTAGGTATTTTCCTTAAGTATATTGAGACGGAGGAGGAGGAGGGCAGAGGAAGAGTCAGGGCTATGGCTATTGTTTAGTTTAGTTTAGTTTAGTTATTTTTTTCGAGCGTGTAAAACCAAAGAAAATACAAATGAAACAAAAGGTGATACAGACATGATACAGTGCTATACAAATGAATGCAATAACAAAACGAAACATTTAATTAATAATTTAATAATCTGTAGTATCATTGTCTGATATCAATAAACAATAAACAACAAAGCTTTAGCTAATTACACGTCCGAAAAGGGGTCGGAAGAAGTTTACACTTATTTAATCCGACCCCTTCTCCCTTTTTTATTTATTATTATTATTATTTTTTTTTACATCTTAATATATGTTAACATACAATATAAACGTATACTTATAATCTTGAATAATTTATATAATCATTCATATAATATATACAGGCAAGTTAGGACAATGGTCTCTATATATTTATATATACACATACACAAATTCATACAAACACAAATTCATAAATAAAATAAAAATATTGACTGGAATATGAGACGTAATGACTCAAAATGAACCAGATTTGTATGATTTCTCCACACGTTCTCATGCATTTCCCTTTATTCCTGTATTCTACTTGCACCATTGTTTCTTGCAGATGTTTTTTTGTATTTTTGGGGTCATTTGCACTATTCTTATATTAGCACTGCTGGAGGAGCTTCAGACTTGCATTTCCAACAACTACGCTATTGTGCATGACAATCAAAACCTTTGAATCCTTCCTAAAGTACTTTAAATATGAATTATCATCTATAATAACATGCTTTCAGCTGCTGAGACAACATGTGTAATAATAACTGTGCTTCTATATTAATTACATCCTCTCATCCTATATCTGTCCTGATGGTGAGTTTCCCTCCGTGTGTGCAGACGTGTGATTTTAAACGTTGCATTTGGCAGCCTCTGCAGCTGCACATCACGTCGTTATCAGGGAGGAGATCAGGAGAGAGAAACAGAGGAATAGTTACGGAGGATATTTGGTTAAAAAAGGAGGTTTTATAAGAAGTTAGAAGGATATGAGGTGTTGAAAGCGCCCATGTGTTAGTCGAGGAGAGCCTATAATGAAATACAAAGTGTAAAACAAAGACTGAATGGACGGCGTTCGGAGAGGAGAAGTTAAGCTCATAAAAAGCCACATATGCAAGACTGTACTTTAAATAAAGATAAGAAAAATACAACTAAACAGAAAAAGCCAAAACAGTATTATTGTTTGTGTGCTTGAGTGTGTCCTTGAGTGTTTTTCTCTTAAAAAATAAATAGACAAGACAAGACGAAAACACATACAAAACTATAAAAAATAATAACTCAACGATGCTTGAATCCAGTAATGAACATTAAAGCTCCTTTTTCCATTACGTTTGGGTTCCTTTGCTTTAATTTACACGTATTCATGCCTAAATATGTGATGCATACTGTGCTGTAGCATTTATAAACGCACGGTTAGCAGCACGATGCATTATGGGAATAGTCTTCTGCATCAAAGCACCAGAAGGTTTCCTGGGCTGCTGTTCAATTCAAAGAAATTCACCAAGATGAAGAAATATAGTGATCTTCCTCCCTGGAGATGTGTTCTCAGGGTTAATGAGAGCGGCTGGTAATCTCTGCACGGTTAGAGTTATGATACAGATTCTGCATCACCGATATATTGGAGGAATTCATTTCAGACCCCACAGGCTGAGGAGGTATTCATGTTTCATCTCAGTTGAATGAAACACTGATGATGTGGAGGGTCAGAGGATGATTGAAACGTCTTCATATCCTCTTAGTGGGTAATCTGTTCATAAAGCAGGGTGGTCGTCTCTTAATCTGATCTAAAAGTGATATGTTTGATATTCTTTGGGGTGTTCCCTCTCCTGCAGTGTGCATGTAAATGGTCTGCAAAGGCTCAGTTTGTTCCTCTGATAGACGTCCCATCACAAAAATCCTTCATTTGAGGTAAAAAGCACCAAAATGTGAAGATTTTACGATCAGAAAAGCTTGAAACTGGATAGAAAGTCAATATCAAGTCAGTTTTTGTTGGTGTTAGAGGGGCTTTTTGTCAAGTGGGATTCAGCTGAGAAATTTAATTATGTGTTTCTGCTTATTTTAGATTTCGAGGAGTTTCTATAAAAAGCTCAGAGGATATTAAAGTTCTCTCTCTCTCTCTCTCAAATTGGGCCATTTTTTAAATACCAAGCACCAAATTCCTCTGGCCTCGAGCGCCGAGAAACGAGGTTAGCTTTAATTTGAAATCGTGGCTGGAGCAGAATGTTTTAATCACGCCTTTGAAATGGGATTATCAGCCGGCAGGAAGTCTGAAGAGCAACAAAAGCTGTGTGAGAACTTTACTCAAGTTCCCCTGGAGTTAGAAAAGCTCACACACACACACGGAGCTGATCACACACACACACACAAAGCTGATCACACACACACACACACACACACACAAAGCTGATCACACACACACACACACACACACACAAAGCTGATCACACATACACACACACACACACACACACCTCGCTTTAACTAATTTCATTCATTTTGATCTTTCTTGTGAAGCACTTTGTGAATTTTATTTCTGTGACAGGTGCTATACTAAATACACATTATGTGAGAAATTAAAAACACCACACACACACACACACACACACACACACACACACACACACACACACACACACACAACACACACACACACACACACAACACACACACACACACCCACACACACACACACACACACACACACAACACACACACACACACCACACACACACACACACACACACACACACACACACACCACACACACACACACCACACACACACACACACACACACACAACACACACACACACACACACACACACACACACACACACACACACACACACACACACACACACACACACACACACACACACACACACACACACACACACACACACACACACACACACACACCTCGCTTTAGGGCTGCTCTCTCTGCTCCAGCACGCTTCAGTCTTCTCTCGAGGGAGGGGGGGCTTCAGCATCTCGGAGGCCAGAGGGTCTGCGTCCTCCTCCTCTCGCCCAACCCACTGCCCCACCACCCGGGTCCGCACCCCCGAGTTATAGCCCCCCACGTTCTGCAGGAGAAATGATAAAAAAGAATGACACATGATTCGGCTGTGTTCTCTCAAATGTAAGATCTAAAAACAGCACTTCTTTCATGGTGTGGCTTTTAATTGATTTGCTGCAGGCTTGTCATCGTTAACAAACCACTCTTTATACATTTTTGTATGAGTTTTGGATATTATATTTTACAGGCGTTGAGGATAGTTTGCTCAAAATGTGATCTCTCACTGCTGTCTAACCTGCATAATGAGAAACTGCAGACCTAAATGGACTCAGTGATTAGTTCATCAACACAGAAAGTGATCTATTTAGATACCCGATCTCTCATGCAAAAATACAAAAAGGCTATAATCTTCCCTAAAAATATGGACATGACATTCGGCTGTATTCTCTCAAATGAAAGATCTAAAAACAGCACATGTTTTGACGTAAATCAAGGTCATGGTGAGGTTTTAATTTATTTCGTGCAGGCTTTGCATCATACGGGTTGTCCGCCGAGTTACAGCCCCCCAACTTCTGCAAAATATATGATAAAAAAAGGATGAAAGAAATGCAGATTTATACGAAAAAGAGAAGAAGTTTTAAAAGCATTTTTTATCCAGATGTCTCACATTTTCTTCAACGTGAAATTTGAGCACTTTCCAGGTCTTATTCTCTCAAATGTAGGGACTAAACAGAGACTGTTTATCATGCATAATGCAAGAGCTGCAGCGCTAAACTGACTAAGACTCCATTTACACGGGAACGTTTGCGTTTTCAAAAAAGTCTTCCGTTCACACGCATTCGATTCATTTAACGTGTCCGTTCACACGAGACCACTGGAGACGCTGTAGTACATATGCCGGGCCTGTAAGTGGCGCTGCTGCCGCCACAAAATACACCAAAAGCAGCGAAGAAGACCCCGGAGCATGGTTGCCATGGTTGCCCTTCTGTTTATGCCCCGCGGTGGATTGAGCAACATGTAGTTCATGTAGTTCTCCATGTCCACTTGTTGCTGATGGTTGTGGTAGAGGAGCTGTAGATGTTGCACTAACATCTGTAGCATGGTCAGTAGCAGTAGCACTAGCAGTAGCTACTGACCATGCTACAGCAGTGAGCAGCAGAGGTGGGGCTATGGCTTCATCGTTATCAGGAAATTATCGTATAGGGCGTACACACAGAGCCGTTTGGCCCCCCAGAGCGTTCTGTTTGCAGATCCACCTTGGGACCCGTTATCGTTTGCGGGGTCCGTGTCCGTGGTTCCGTTCCGGCCTCGTGTGAACGAACGGGCTATACGCGAGAGAAACTATGCGGATACAACCCGTTTCGTCCTCGTGTAAACGGGGTCTAAGTGATTAGTTAATCAACAAATACAGTTATTGCCAACTATTTAGATACCTGATTCCTCATGCAAATAAAGGGTCTGTCCGAAACAAGGATGTTTTATAAAGTCGGTGGAATCGTTTCTGCAGCCCGACAACACCTGATGGAATACCTGTAGATATTTAGCCTTTATTGTTCTAGCCAATATTGCAATTTGGATAGAATGTAAACTAATGATGCCTCCCTTCATCTGAGCCCTACGATCTTTAACTCTCATGTAAAGAAATGATAACCAAGACTCTGCCCTTCAGAATCAAAGCACCGAACCGTCTGAGTAAACATCCCTCACGCTCACAGATCTGTCTGCTTGTCTGAATCGAGGACAGGATCAGATATGATGGTCTGTGTGATCAGTATTCACTCCCCGTCCTTCAGAGAGAGTCTCCGGGCGAAGAGCCAAGGACGGAGACATGTCCTAATGCCGAGGACAAAGTGTGAGACACACTCTGAAGCATCTGCAGAGGACATGCTCACTGAGGATCTGTAATATCATCCAATCAGAGAGCAATCGGGGCTTTTTGCAGAAACACAGATGTGTCTTGTGAGACATTTTCAAATGTGTTTCAAGAAGTTGATCCATATCCGCCTCGTAGAACACGAACAGGAACACACAATCCCTATGGGTTATGTTTTATTTGGTCATTATTTGGTGTGTGTGATGAGTGATCAGTGTGTGTGAGAGTTTATAAAGACGGTACCTGGTCCAGCTCGTCAGAAATGGCGATGCCTGCAGAGAGAAGATGTTTTAAATCACAGAGAAATATCTGGTTTCCTCTCAGGATTCACAGTGACAAGGTCAACGCTTTATAGTTCCTGCATAAAGAAACATCTAGAGGGATAACAGCCACACATATTTAGAGAAACATCTAGAGGGATAACAGCCACACATATTAGAGAAACATCTAGAGTGATAACAGCCACACATATTAGAGAAACATCTAGAGGGATAATAGCCACACATATTTAGAGAAACATCTAGAGGGATAACAGCCACACATATTTAGAGAAACATCTAGAGTGATAACAGCCACACATATTTAGAGAAACATCTAGAGAGATAACAGCCACACATATTAGAGAAACATCTAGAGGGATAACAGCCACACATATTAGAGAAACATCTAGAGAGATAACAGCCACACATATTTAGAGAAACATCTAGAGAGATAACAGCCACACATATTAGAGAAACATCTAGAGAGATAACAGCCACACATATTTAGAGAAACATCTAGAGAGATAACAGCCACACATATTAGAGAAACATCTAGAGGGATAACAGCCACACATATTAGAGAAACATCTAGAGAGATAACAGCCACACATATTAGAGAAACATCTAGAGGGATAACAGCCACACATATTAGAGAAACATCTAGAGGATAACAGCCACACATATTAGAGAAACATCTAGAGAGATAACAGCCACACATATTAGAGAAACATCTAGAGAGATAACAGCCACACATATTAGAGAAACATCTAGAGAGATAACAGCCACACATATTTAGAGAAACATCTAGAGAGATAACAGCCACACATATTAGAGAAACATCTAGAGAGATAACAGCCACACATATTTAGAGAAACATCTAGAGAGATAACAGCCACACATATTAGAGAAACATCTAGAGAGATAACAGCCACACATATTAGAGAAATCTAGAGAGATAACAGCCACACATATTAGAGAAACATCTAGAGAGATAACAGCCACACATATTAGAGAAACATCTAGAGGGATAACACCACACATATTAGAGAAACATCTAGAGAGATAACAGCCACACATATTAGAGAAACATCTAGAGAGATAACAGCCACACATATTAGAGAAACATCTAGAGAGATAACAGCCACACATATTAGAGAAACATCTAGAGAGATAACAGCCACACATATTAGAGAAACATCTAGAGAGATAACAGCCACAACATATTAGAAGAAACATCTAGAGTGATACAGCCACACTATTAGAGAAACATCTAGAGAGATAACAGCCACACATATTTAGAGAAACATCTAGAGAGATAACAGCCACACATATTTAGAGAAACATCTAGAGAGATAACAGCCGCACATATTTAGAGAAACATCTAGAGAGATAACAGCCACACATATTTTGATTTTCCGTCCAAACCGTCCCTTTAATGTTTGTAAACATTAACATTCGGACTCACTGCGGGACAGACTCTCCAGAGCTTTGCCCAGCTTCTTGCTCTCCTGCAGGATGTGGTTCAGCTCGTCAAAGTCCCGGCTCTCCCTCCAGTCCCAGGATGGACACTCGATGGACCGCGGCACTACACACACACACACACACACACACACACACACACACTGTATGAGTGATCTACTGTAAACAACAACAATAAAAAGGCCTTTAAACACTGGATGTGTGACAGAAAAATTAAGCTAATATGTCCCGGGCTTTAATTGTGAAAGGTTATAGTGGATCTGTGTGTGTGTGCGCGCGCGCGCGCGTGCGTGTGCGTGTGTGTGTGCGCGTGCGTGTGCTTGTGCGTGTGCGCGTGTGTGTGTGTGTCCTTAAGTGAAACAGGAAGTGACCCACACACTGTAGCGACTTCCTGCCTATAGCTTCTGCATCATTGTTCCTAAACCTCCGGACTAATCAAACGCTCCAACACGGTCTGATATGATACGGATGCAAAAAGCAGGAATGTAGTACAACATGCAACCAGGTAGTGCTCTGCTGATGTATGTGAGAAAGTGCATACACATGTTGTGCAATGGTGATCTGAAAACATCATCACTTCAGACTGACTGAGCTGCTGGAACACAGAAGCGTCCCCCAAAGAAAAACATGTTATTTCTTCCCGCTCTCGTTTGAACAGCTCAGATTAAGAGTTACAGATTAAATCTCTGCACATTAAAGCGTCAGTGATAATAATAATAATACACTTTATTTATATTGCATGCTTGACGCAGCTCAAAGTGCTTTACAGAGGATGACAGAAAATGACAATAACAAATGAGGAACATCAAGGGTATTGTTTGTGAAGTTAATTTAATGAATTGATGTTATGTATGTGACTTGTAATGTACTCCATTTTGTGACGTCTTGTGGACGTTTGTGTACTGTCTTTTATATTGTCTATATATGCTAAAACAATAAAGAAAGTGTTAAAAAACTAAAACAAGGGTATGAACAAACAGAAAGAGTTATATCACTGAACCATAAAACATGAACAGTGACGCTACTGAACAAATACAATGAGAAGCCACCATTTACAGTTTTGTTTGAGTTGCTGTTCTCAGATCAAATGGGATCCCACAGTTTGGGGCGATATAAAAACAGAAAGCAGCCTCTCCAGTTTTCTTCTAAAAGTGAAATATTGTAGGATCTGAGTGTCCTCGCAGTGATGAAGACTCACGATGAAGACTCACAGTGGAGATCAGAGTGCTGTTTGTTGTGTTGCTGATACAATAATGATGAGCAGCAGCGCTCTGATCTCCATCTTTCATGAGCTCTGCACAGCATGCTGGATCTCTGATGGCTCCACTCCGTTACCCTGACACGTCCTGACTCAAATAGCCTCGGTGTGGCAGAGACGGAGCGCTAAGTTACATTATTAAAAAGGTCCGAGCCTCTTTGTCTCCTCTTCATCCGAACATCAGAACCGAGCCATTTATTACAGCGCTCAAATAAAAGTTCTTCATCTTCTGCAGCTCGTCTTCAGACATCGAGCGGTACTTTGTAATGAACTCATCTGCAGGGCGGCGCGCTGAACACTTTAGTTATAATTACATCACATTTAAAATGGAGATTGAACCTAATGGAGCGTGTAATTGGGGTTCAACAGGTGTGTGTGTATGTGTATGTGTATGTGTATGTGTGTGTGTGTGTGTGTGTGTGTGTGTGTGTGTGTGTCTCCAGCAACTTGACAGCACGCGCAGCGTTTAGAGAACATTCAGCAACTTGAGGAAACATGCGCAGCGTAGCGTGATCACATTGTTAAAATTAATTAAATAAAACATTTTAGGTAAGTTTCCAACAACAGAGACAGTTGTTCAGCTTTATGATCCTGAACGCCACCAAGTGCTCCAGCTGTGTGCGTCACTCTTTAGTGTCCACTGGTCTCCCAGCTGTGTGCGTCACTCTTTAGTGTCCCCTGGTCTCCCAGCTGTGTGCGTCACTCTTTAGTGTCCCCTGGGCTCCAGCTGTGTGCGTCACTCTTTAGTGTCCCCTGGTCTCCCAGCTGTGTGCGTCACTCTTTAGTGTCCCCTGGTCTCCAGCTGTGTGCGTCACTCTTTAGTGTCCCCTGGTCTCCAGCTGTGTGCGTCACTCTTTAGTGTCCCCTGGTCTCCAGCTGTGTGCGTCACTCTTTAGTGTCCCCTGGTCTCCAGCTGTGTGCGTCACTCTTTAGTGTCCCCTGGTCTCCAGCTGTGTGCGTCACTCTTTAGTGTCCCCTGGTCTCCAGCTGTGTGCGTCACTCTGTAGTGTCCCCCTGGTCTCCCAGCTGTGTGCGTCACTCTGTAGTGTCCCCTGGTCTCCCAGCTGTGTGCGTCACTCTTTAGTGTCCCCTGGTCTCCCAGCTGTGTGCGTCACTCTTTAGTGTCCCCTGGTCTCCCAGCTGTGTGCGTCACTCTTTAGTGTCCCCTGGTCTCCCAGCTGTGTGCGTCACTCTTTAGTGTCCCCTGGTCTCCCAGCTGTGTGCGTCACTCTTTAGTGTCCCCTGGTCTCCCAGCTGTGTGCGTCACTCTTTAGTGTCCCCTGGTCTCCCAGCTGTGTGCGTCACTCTTTAGTGTCCCCTGGTCTCCAGCTGTGTGCGTCACTCTTTAGTGTCCCCTGGTCTACCAGCTGTGTGCGTCACTCTTTAGTGTCCCCTGGTCTCCCAGCTGTGTGCGTCACTCTTTAGTGTCCCCTGGTCTCCCAGCTGTGTGCGTCACTCTTTAGTGTCCCCTGGTCTCCCAGCTGTGTGCGTCACTCTTTAGGTCTGGTCTCCCAGCTTGGGTGCGCCTCTTTAGTGTCCCCTGGTCTCCCAGCTGTGTGCGTCACTCTTTAGTGTCCCCTGGTCTCCCAGCTGTGTGCGTCACTCTTTAGTGTCCCCTGGTCTCCCAGCTGTGTGCGTCACTCTTTAGTGTCCCCTGGTCCCCCGCTGCACATGTCCCCTCAAGTTGCCGAATGTTCTCTAAATGCTGAATGTGTTGTCAAGTTGCTGGAGAGGTTTCTTCATGTGGAACCTTTGGTTTTTATATCTGCGTCCTCTCTGGAGCTGCAGCACGTTGTATCCTCATGGAAGTGATTTGCGCTGTTCGTCGGCCACTGTAAAGCCCAGATAAAACATCCAGTAAATGTAAAACTAAGCTGAGAATAACATAAAGAAACTCACAGGACTTGGACTCGGGGGAGGGGGGTGAGATGCTGGACACAGCGAGGTCACTCTTGGACTTTTTGGGGTTTCTTGGGATGGATTTGCCACGGCTTCTCGTAGCCGCCGCTGCTATCCCTGCGAGGGTTTTTGCTTTCTGTCGGGAGAGAGAGAGAAACAATTACAGCTCAGACTGTCCAGTTATGCAAATCTCTGGAAAACACAGATGCAGAGAAAGTGTTGGGGACATACAGGGTCAGAAGATATTACAATTCTCTTTCAAATATACACTTTTAGACAATATAATGAGGGGGTCAGTCTGAGGTCAGAGGAGATGATTACCAAGATAAGGAAAACTAGGACAAGACATTGGTAAAGGAAATGATCTTTTTAAATGTGGGCATAATGCATGCCTTACACTGCATGCATGCACAGTATGAGTACGTGTGTCTGTGTGTCTGTGTGTGTGTGTGGTGTGTGTGTGTGTGTGTGTGTGTGTGTGTGTGTGTGTGTGTGTGTGTGTGTGTGTGTGTGTGTGTGTGTGTGTGGTGTGTGTGTGTGTGTGTGTGTGTGTGTCTGTGTATGTGTGTGTGTGTGTGTGTGTGTGTTGTGTCTGTGTATGTGTGTGTGTGTCCCACCTGGAGAGCTCTGCGCCCACAGAGCAGCGGATCCAGAAAGAGCTCTGTGAAGTTTCCCCGGACTGCCTTGTTTAGTCTGAAGGTGATCGATGAGGAAGGGGATCGGATGGTCGGGGGTCTCTGTGATCAATTTGGTCATCAACTCCTGCAGGAGGAGAGAAAAGAGAGAGAGAGAGAGTTAGAGGAGAGAGAGAGTTAGAGGAGCTACAGAGTGTGTGAGGAGAAGGAAGCTGCATCGTGTAGAATACATGATGCAGCCGTCACTGAGGTGAAACACAGAAAGAAACAGGAACTGAGGTCAGAGGCCACGTCTAACTCTGCATGCTAATATATAATCTGTAAAACACACAACTGGAATTCAGTGTGTGTGTGTGTGTGTGTGTGTGTGTGTGTCTGTATGCGTGTGTGTGTGTGTGAGTGTGAGTGTGTGTGTGTGTGTGTGTAGGACTCCCTTCTCTCTACATGCAGTGCGTTTTATGGCATGATGTGTGTTTCACAGAATGCTGACATGTCACTTTGTAGCAGCAGCACACGGGCTGCATGTTAATGTGAGAGGGGTGTGTGTGGTGTGTGTGTGTGTGTGTGTGTGTGTGTGTGTGTGTGTGTAGGACTCCCTTCTCTCTACATGTTTTTTTCAAGCAGAATGACATAGCTGGTCTTTAGTAGCTGGTGTGTGTCCTTGTGGGCGTTGTCGTGTGTGTGTGTGTGTGTGTGTGTGTGTGTGTGTGTGTGTGTGTGTGTGGGTGTGTGTGTGTGTGTGTGTGTGTGTGCAGAAAGTGATCAGGTAATTGGTCAGAGGGACACCCTGCTGCCTCAGAGCAGAACACAGAGAGTCCAACAGGAAGAGACGCTCCTCTGCAGACTAAAAGAGACTCAAGACTCAAAGATTCAAAGATTCAAAGGTTTTATTGTCACTATTTAGATAAAGAAGTAGATTGCAAGATGACGGACAGATTAATGTTTATCGGGGCACTTAGCAGAGCTCAGGTGTTGAGTGTTATTGCCTGATATATATATATATATATATATATATATATATACACACATAGGGAACATATGAAGCTAAGGTGTTCAACAAGCTCCTCACTAGATGCATCTACAGGGAAATAAGATGCTTTCAGAGAACACAGCACAACCTGCAACCTATGTGCACACCTCCCTGAGAAGCTTTGTGCAAGAACTTTCATATCTGAATCATTGTGAGCGGACTTCAAATACAAAGTCCAGAGTACAAGTACTGCAGAGAGTCTGAGGAAGAAGGAGAACTCAAAACACCCGCCAAGAGCACCAATCTACATTCTACATTTACATTTCATGTAATATTCCATTCCCTCTTAATGTGAATGATATCCTGCTTGATATTGTGTCTAAACTCTTCAATAGTGTTTTATTGTCAGAGTTTATAGATTGTTGTATCTTCAACGGCCAACTGTATATTTTTCTACTTTTTAATGTTGTTTTAATTCTATTTTGAGATGTTTAATTTCTAGTATTGTTTTATTTCTACAATTTAATTTCTACTTATGTGCAACGCCTTGTTTGTTGTGTAAGCTGCTGCAACGCAAACATGTCCCCATTTGGGATCAACACCTCTTATCTTATCTTATCCTCCCTCAACCTTGGTGGCATTTACTGCAATAACGGGCGAAACGTCAAAACAATGACACAAAACAACGAGAAGAACAAGAAGGGTCATTTACACAAAGATGCCAACGGAAATGATTCAAGGACTATTGTTTTATAAGACGTTCAAATTCAAACAAAGTAAGATAAAAACAGACGTTTAGAACCATAAGAACCTCAGTGGTGTAATCTGTGTATCTTGCATTCTGCAAACTTCATCCAGCACTAAATTACATCAAGTTTAAAGAGGAATTAAGAACAATTCGTACACCAACAATCTGTTATTGTACTCTTTGTGCAATCATAAGAAACTCCAGACAATGTGAAGACCTGATTCTTCAGATGAGAAAACGTTCTCAGAGTTCAGTCATTCTTCTCACAACTGCAATATATTCCTGCGGCCTGAGTCTAACGATTAAAAAACAATAACAAAGCTCAGATGTAAAACTTGTAATTACTGCTCATTTGAACTGAAACCCGCCAACAGGAGGTCAAACTATCAAAACATCGATACGATCCGCGGGGTTCCACGTCCTAACCGCTCCTTTTTATGGATGACTGCAGCGAGGTGATGCTCAGGACTGTGTGTGTGTGTGTGTGTGTGTGTGTGTGTGTGTGTGTGTGTCTTCCACTGGGTTACACACACACTTATAGAGAGAGTAAAAAGACAGATGGACTGATTAGAGCAGGTTCATCTGCAGCCTGCCCACGTCTCCTCTGTGACACTGAGCACTTCCTGAGAGTTTAGGTGGTGCAGAATGAACTCTTTACCCTCACCTTCACCGTCCACAATAACATCATAACAAGAGACGTATATATATATATAAAGGTGCATGCATTATATAAGTCACATTCCCAGCAGAACAAGGAGACATTCCACTCTCTATGCTAATCAGCTGCTTTAAACAAAAGGAGCTTCGACTGGAGATCAGGTTTTGACAGGACAGGAGTACGATGTTAGCTCCATTCGGGGGAAACATGTCAATATATACGAGTAGACTGTAATGCAAAGTGACTTACAGAAGGAACACTGTTGGATATGTTTGTATGCATGATGGCAGGGGTCCCTCCGGTCTTCGCCTTTAAAATGTCAGTGAAAGAGAGACGTACCAGAGAGGGGAATACTTCAAAAGTCCACAAAGAGACGCAAAACTGCTGTGAAGGAGCAAAATGACCACAAAACCACTACAACAAGACTACAAGGAGACACAACACCACTACAACAAGACTACAAGGAGACACAACACCACTACAACAAGACTACAAGGAGACACAACACCACTACAACAAGACTACAAGGAGACACAACACAACTACAACAAGACTACAAGGAGACACAACACCACTACAACAAGACTACAAGGAGACACACAACCACTACAACAAGACTACAAGGAGACACAACACAACTACAACAAGACTACAAGGAGACACACAACCACTACAACAAGACTACAAGGAGACACAAAACCACTACAAGACTACAAGGAGACACAAAACCACTACAAGACTACAAGGAGACACACAACCACTACAAGACTACAAGGAGACACACAACCACTACAACAAGACTACAAGGAGACACAACACAACTACAACAAGACTACAAGGAGACACACAACAACTACAAGCAACACACTAAGGAAGGAAGCAACACACTAAGGAAGCAACACACTAAGGAAGCAACACACTAAGGAAGCATCACACTAAGGAAGCAACACACTAAGGAAGCATCACACTAAGGAAGCATCACACTAAGGAAAGAAGCAACACACTAAGGAAGCAACACACTAAGGAAGCATCACACTAAGGAAAGAAGCAACACACTAAGGAAGCAACACACTAAGGAAGCAACACACTAAGGAAGCAACACACTAAGAGCAATCATCACACTAAGGAAGCAACACACTAAGGAAGCAACACACTAAGGAAGCAACACACTAAGGAAGCATCACACTAAGGAAGCAACACACTAATGAAGCATCACCCTAAGGAAGCATCACACTAAGGAAAGAAGCAACACACTAAGGAATCAACACACTAAGGAAGCAACACACTAAGAAGCAAACACTAAGGAAGGAAGCAACACACTAAGGAAGCATCACACTAAGGAAGCAACACACTAAGGAAGGAAGCAACACACTAAGGAAGGAAGCAACACACTAAGGAAGCAACACACTAAGGAAGCAACACACTAAGGAAGCATCACACTAAGGAAGGAAGCACACACTAAGGAAGCAACACACTAAGGAAGCAACACACTAACGAAGGAAGCAACACACTAAGGAAGCACACACTAAGGAAGCATCACACTAAGGAAGCATCACACTAAGGAAGCACACACTAAGGAAGCAACACACTAAGGCAAGGAAGAAGCACACCTAAGGAAGCAACACACTAAGGAAGCAACACACTAAGGAAGCAACACACAAGGAACACACACGTAAGGAAGCAACACACTAAGGAAGCATCACACTAAAGGAAAGCCACACTAAGGAAGATCACACTAAGGAAGCGACACACTAAGGAAAGCAACACACTAAGGAAGCAACACACTAAGGAAGCAACACACTGAGGAAGCATCACACTAAGGAAGCAACACACTAAGGAAGCAACACACTAAGGAAGGAAGCAACAAACTAAGGAAGCATCACACTAAGGAAGCAACACACAAAGGAAGCAACACACTAAGGAAGGAAGCAACAAACTAAGGAAGCATCACACTAAGGAAGCAACACACTAAGGAAAGAAGCAACACACTAAGGAAGCAACACACTAAGGAAGCAACACACTAAGGAAGCAACACACTAAGGAAGCATCACACTAAGGAAGCAACACACTAAGGAAGCAACACACTAAGGAAGGAAGCAACACACTAAGGAAGCAACACACTAAGGAAGGAAGCAACACACTAAGGAAGGAAGCAACACACTAAGGAAGCAACACACTAAGGAAGCAACACACTAAGGAAGCAACACACTAAGGAAGCAACACACTAAGGAAGCAACACACTAAGGAAGGAAGCAACACACTAAGGAAGCATCACACTAAGGAAGCATCACACTAAGGAAGGAAGCATCACACTAAGGAAGCATCACACTAAGGAAGCAACACACTAAGGAAGCAACACACTAAGGAAGGAAGCAACACACTAAGGAAGCAACACACTAAGGAAGCATCACACTAAGGAAGGAAGCATCACACTAAGGAAGCAACACACTAAGGAAGCAACACACTAAGGAAGGAAGCAACACACTAAGGAAGCAACACACTAAGGAAGCAACACACTAAGGAAGCAACACACTAAGGAAGCAACACACTAAGGAAGGAAGCAACACACTAAGGAAGCAACACACTAAGGAAGCAACACTAAGGAAGCAACACACTAAGGAAGCAACACACCAAGGAAGCAACACACTAAGGAAGCATCGCACTAAGGAAGCAACGCACCAAGGAAGCAACACACCAAGGAAGCAACACACTAAGGAAGCAACACACAAAGGAAGCATCACACTAAGGAAG